GAGCTAGAATTATCAGAAGCTGTGGGGCTGCTTTCCAAATATACTTACATGACTCTGCTACTGCTCAAACATTAACTTTTGGCCACTATTGAATATTATATTGGGCTAAAATGGCTTCTACTGCAAGCCTTTGGCTTGTATGTGCTTCACTGACTCAGATAATTCAGTGAGGAGAAAAAGAATTCAAGTTTTATGAGTCAGTTATGGTGAAAAATATACAAGATTAGCCCATATTTAATTGTATCTTTTGAAGAAAGATTTTTTTCCCTTAGAAAAAGGCTAGCAAGATGGAACATTAAAGATTAACAAGCTGCTTGGTGTACTGTGTATGTTATATGACCACATAACTAAATAGAATATTTTTCAACCCATAGTCTTAGTATTTTATAGAAATTAGCAGGAAGACGTCATCTGAGTTTGAGATGGCTCTGACACTATTGCCAGGTTAAAATGAGGCACGTTTAACTTTGATACATGTATTTAATTTTTTATTTTATTATTATTTTAATATTGTTTTATAGAAAAAATAAAGATCAGATCAGAAAAGAAGGGTTATCGTTGTGGGAGGTTCCTGGCATGGGCAATTGGAAGGCACAGCTGGCAGTGGTAGAGCATTCTTTAAAACTTAACCAGTTTTCCACTTGAAACACATGTTGATTTACAAGCACAGGCACAAAAAGTAGGGTGATTAAGGAATTTATTTTCATTCATTGTACCCTGTAGGCATATGTCTTCAATATTTAACAAAGAGATCGATAAAAGCAAATTGTTCACTGACAACCAGCTAGTTACTTTCCTTCAGGTGAAATACTGCTTTAAGTACTCTACCATTGTGAGGACAGCTCTCTCTTTTTATTTTCCATGACTTCCTGCATTTCTTTTCCTCACTATTTTTATTACCTCTCCTTCAAGAGTCTCCTTACAAGATAAAAACTGGAATTATGTGGAAATACAAACCAGCTAGTTGCTACAGAGTTATATATCAGTCAAGCTCCAGTAGGGAGCTGCATGTTTCAGTTTCATGTATGCTGATAACTGTAATTTCAAAATGAAGTATTGAGCCCAGAGTGTACAAAAGTATTTCAGGAGGATCTGCATGCAGTCTCTTTAACAGGGCAGTGCTATTTCACTTGTGACACTATTTTATCCTTTGTTGGGCTAAGAATTTCCCAAGTATCACTACTAGCCAGTACTGGAGGGGGCAGAGCTCCTGTAAAAGCAATGTCAGCATTTCCAAGGAGGTAATAGTTCTTTCTCCGAGCCATAAGGTCAAGTCTGATATTCTGTATGATTTTTTTCATAGAATGCAGGTAGTGATGAGAGACTCCTCTCTTGTCATATCCTCTCCTTAGTGTGGCAGTAGTTGTGAAATTCTTTAAATAGCTACCAAGCTGGGACACAGTACATTTCAAAAGTTGCTGTATACCTCAGAAACTAACCATCTTTTTATCTTTTGTGCCCTTGTGGCTTGGAAAGTGGCAACACATTGTCAGCTTACAGAATTCTCCATGAGAATTGTTTGGGCAGTTATTATTTCTGAGGGTCATAGATAAGGAGCTTTTGTTCCTTTTAAGCCATATTTATTAAATCCTAAATTAAACACCTGTAAACCTGAAGAAGCTGACCCATTGAATCATTTAAAAAAACGGTATAATCACGGACAAAGACCCTCTAACTAATTAAAGTTACAAAGTGGTATGTTTATCCACCGGTGGGTGGCACAGGAGTCACCTCTGAAAGGTGTGACCGCCCTGAACAAGGTTCTTTGCCATCTATTTATTCCCCAAGATCTCACATACAATACATCTGCATAACCCCAGCACCTCCCATCCCCACCCCATATTAAAATGAGCCCATCAGTCCTTCACACGTGCACAGTTCTTCTCTTGAATTGGGTCGGTGGTCACAAAATGGGTCAGTGGTCTCGAAGGATGAAGTCAGGGGAGTCTTCATCAGGTCTCAGTGACCCTCTGGCACGATCCAAGGCCCTGTGCTTTATGATTAACGGTTTACTTATTTTACGTTTTTTCTATATGCAGGTTCATAATAGCAGATAATTATACCAATTTAGCTCTTACCTAAGCATCTAGTAATTATTAACCTACCATTTTTCTACCTAGCTTACATCTTGGTCATGGAAACTACTTCTACCTTTAGTAAAAATCTTAACTCTTTAAAACCATGATTCACCATGTTGTAGAAGATCAGCTTATAAAATCACAGCAGTATTTAGAACATCCACGATCTTATCTCTCTAGCATTCTACATAATTGCTTTTGCCAAGAAATGGCCTTGTTTGTTCTGCTGTCATATGCCAATTACTGGTACTAGATCCTGACAAATCATTCTTCTCAAGGAGTAAACTAGCATTTTCCACCTATCTTCAGCAGTTAGTCCTCCAGTTACTCCCTCCTGTCCAGGGAACAACAGAGACACAGTTTCAGATCAAGAAAAATTAAATATAAACTGCCTCTGGCTGCCCTCCATAGATATTCTGCCCTATCCTAGGGGCTTTTCTGTTTTCTAGGATCCTACAGTGCTTTGTTCTCTACAAACACAAAACTAAAGCATATATGCCATAGTAAATTCTGAAAATATATATTTATAAAAAAACTTTTCAAAAAGTATATAATCATTATTTGTCCAAGTATGCTCCTTGCTTAATTAATAGAAATCTAAGTGCCCTAATGAAAATCGAGTTCTCAGAATTTTTATAGAGAATGTTTTGAAGAAGATCCTTATTTTCAGATAATTTACTTGCTTTTAAGAAATATGATTTCAGACAAAGTGACATTACCAGAATTGGTAGCATTAATTCAGAAGTATGAAGTAATAGTGGAAAATATAATATTGTGTTGCTAACAAATCTTAAATGGGCTCTGAAGACATGTTTAGAAATAGGCAAGGCCACTAGTAAAGTATATTTTAAATTAAATATTTATTTTCAGACTTTATTATGCATTACAAATATTTTCCCCTTAAATTAGAGATTCTACTTCCATTTATTTTATGAGCTCGATACTCCACCCTGTTGAGTATTTATCAAATGCTGTCATAATAGCAGGGTAAAATAGAGTTGGTCAAAGAGATCTTTAAGGGAAGATATAAATCAACATGGCAATTCTGACAGCAAGAAAATTACAACAGTTCAGATACACTGAGATTTTATGTGTGCATGTTGCTCAGTTCTCAGTCTGTCTTGATGGAAATTTGTAATCAGTGTCACCATCAGGAATACCTATACCTACTAATAATCTGGGTGGTTTTGGGTCAGGTCAGATGTTCATCTAGTCTGGCATCCTGTCTTTGTAGAAAATGCTTAGGGAAAGAGAGCAACAACAGTGGTACTTCCCCTGGCATGTTCATCCAGTTTCTGGTTCTAGTAGCTTAAGAACTTAGAATCACAGAACGGTTTGGGTTGAGAGGGACTTTAAAGGCCACCTAGTTCCAAATCCCCTGCCATAGGCAGGGAATGCCATCCAGCAGACCAGGTTGCTCAGAGCCCCATCCAATCTGGCCTGGAACACTTCCACGGATGAGGCATCCACAACTCTGGGCAACCTGTTCCTGCACCTCAGTACTCTCTGAGTAAAGAATTTCTTCCCAACATCTAATCCACATATCCTCCTCTTTTAATTTAAAACCAAAAACTTATCTGCTTGGTAAAAAGTTGCTCTCCCTCTAAGTTCCTTTTAGGTACTAAGGCTGCTCTAATGTCTCTCTGGATTCTTTTCTCCAGGCTGTACAACCACAGCTCTCTCAGCCTTCTTCATAAAAGAGCTGCTCCAGCTCTGACCATCTTCATGGCCTTCCACTGGACTCATTTTAACAGGTCCATGTCTTTTCCTGGCTAAGATATCCAAGCCTGGATGCAGCACTCCAGGTGTGGTCTCCAAAGGACAGAATAGAGTCTAATTTCTCATACAGACCAGAAACATTATATAAAATAGAATAGATACAAATTATGTAGTTCTCCTCGTGAATCCCTAGTCCTGATATCCAGATATATTTGTTTCTATAACTGTGTCTCTGAAATCCATATATTAATCACAATTTCACAAAGTTGACTTTCCTATTTTATGAAGCTGTAGCTCCATAACATTGTGTCCCATATCTATTTTCTATAAAAAGTAAGTTAAGTATTACTCACTTTCCAGATTCTCTGGTGTCGATTCAAATACACTTAACTTTGTTACTTCAAAAGGATCATCTATGCATACCTTTCCCTTCAGGTTTTCCCATTTGTGTTCATTTTCCCCTTATTCCTATTGGTGCTGTATTATCATGGCATAGTTCCAGTCAGCTGTTTGCAGGCTGTTAGTCTGAACACTAGACAGAATGTATATTTGACAGCAACCAACTGGGCTGGTAATCCACAATTTGTTGATAGCAATAGACACAGGGCATTAGGGGATTGTAAATGAAGTGCTGATGTAGCAGTAATTACAGACTCAGCAGCACTGCCGGAGTTAAGGACTGACGTTTGCTTTAAAGTCTCTTCCAGTGGTTTATGTAATTCAGCTAGGGTAATTTGCAGTTGAATGGAACCTGACATGGAAATCATAAACTCAGATACTGGTTTCCTTCTGAAAAGACTTCAGACAAAAACTGAGAACACAGCAATCCTTAGAGAAGAGGTTCATTCTGGCAGATATGGTTAGGTAATTAATCAAACATGCATTTTCAGTTTTGAAGAGTTTATTTTTTGAATGATTTACATCTCTGTTTTTAAAATATATTATCAATGAAACAGTACTCGCTATTATTTTATGAAGCTGTCAAACAATGACCACTCCCCATATATCAGTGAAATGTGGTGCTGTGCTGCAGAATGGTGTGAGACCATAACTAGTCAAACAGTTAAACTTGGAAAGTAGTTCTGGGTCCTCATATGAGTAGCTCTAAGTGACTACTTTTAATAATATTCTTAATTCTTTTAGGTGACAATGAAGCTTGGTCTCCTAAAGGGTCACAGCAGGTGAAAGCAAGAGAGGGAAATAGCAGAGCCTTTAAAAATTAAAATGGATATTAAATGAAGTTTTCAGCAGTGTTGTGACTGTATTTCTTAGAATATCAGATTACTTTATGGGCCTTCACTCACTTAATTTGGAGCTTTCTCTGTATTCCAAATTCAGAAGTTGAAGAAGAAGTTGCTGGTCAATCAGCACAGCAAATGGATTGTAATTACTCCAGCCCCCAAAGGTAATAACATTTTCCTTCAAGTGACAGGACTGCATAGCCTTGTGGTAACAAAGGTCACCTGAAAAACTTTAATCCTATCTAAATACTTCACCATGAGAAAGGAAGCCCTGTACTTAGGAAGACCTTTATTCTTTATTAAAACCTCTGGCCTTCAACATTAAATTCTGCTCCGTTCAGATTGGCCTGTAGTGTATTTATCTTCCAGTACTGTATGCCTGTGCTTATTATTATCTATTTTTTTCCTGAAAATTAGTAAAATAACAGATTAGGTATTTGGTATTGAATATTAATGTTACTTTCTAAGATGTAATGCAGTGTCATCCTCTATATCATGCTTTCTCTTTTCAAGATTTCTCAGCTGTATCTGTGTTGTTCATTTTACAGATATGTTACTGAGTTTCTAGGTACAGATAGAATTACAGAACCATAGAATGTTCTGGGTCGGAAGGCACTTGACAGATCATCTAGCTCCAGCCCCCTGCCGTGGGCAGGGACACCTTTCACTAGAGAGGCTGCTCAGAGCTCCATCTAACCTGGCCTTGAACACTTCCAGAGCTGGGGCATCTGCAACTTCTCTAGGCATATAATATTCTACTTTAATAGTGAACCATGCTAAAGCCAAATAGAACAAACTTGCAATAATTTCTCCTTGTCTCAGACCTCTTTAGGTGCAATCTCAAGTGTTGTTGGCATTCACCATGCTCCTCAGAGGTTGTAACATGACATGGAAAGTATTATAGGCAATATTACTATTATCATTTGTATTATAGGCAATATTACTATTATAATTTGTTGACCTGAGAAGCACAACATTCAAGCTTGTTTCAATTACAAGGAGAAATTGGATATGTTTCCTTGATGTCACTTTATTTATAGAATCTGTTTTCCTGAATATGGGATTAATTAATTAGAGGCATCTTGTGCTTGTAACCTCAAGACTTTTTTCACTAGCTTGTGATACAGAACACTCTTACTGTTGATTGTGAGGTTGCATTGATGATACTAAGCACTTTATGGGAACTCAGATTTGATTGGTCTTGAAATGCTCAGCCCCAGTACACTGTTGCATGAAAGGAATTTTATTTAGATAGGCAAACGTGAATTCCATGAATGAAACAACTAACTTTGTGGTACATTTTATTTATAACTTTTCTTGGGCAGCTATACCAAACTAAGTACTCAGTTATGAATGTGGTTCTCTCCATGTGCTAACTGGCAAAGCCCCAGTAACCTCGGTATTTCTTTCAGCTGGGATAGAGCTCATTTTCTTCTCAGTAGCTGGTACAGCACTTTGTTTTGGATTCACTATAATTCAGTAACATACTGATGCTTTGGTTGGTGCTTAGTAGTGCTTGCCCCTAGTAAAGGACTTTTCAGGGTCTTGTGCTCTGCCAGTGAGGAGGTAAACAAGAATTTGGAAGAGAACATAGCTGGGATAGCTGACCCAAAAAGGCCAAAGGGATATATTCCATACTATAAAATGTCATGCCCCGTATAAACTAGGGAAGTCACCTGAAGTGGGCCTGACTTGGGGGTGAGCTGGTCATCTGGCAACAAGTGGGTGGTGAGCAACTGTATTGTACATCACTTGTTCTTAAGTTTTTATATAGATCTCTCCCTCCCTCTTATTTTTAATGAAAATTATTGTTGTTTTAATTACTATTATTATATATTACTTTGTTTCAGTTATTAAGCTGTTCTTACATTGTTGGGGATTGTGTTTCTTTCTTTTTGATCCTTTTTACTTGTGCAATTTTTTCCCGTTGAGTTGCCAGGAAGTGCTGATGGCTGGGTACTTGAGAAAACAGGGAGGTGGCCAAGCCTCAGGGGAGGAGGAAGTCTGGTGGCACTCCTCTGGTTTTTTGGGAGTTTCTCCTGGAGGGGCAGAGGTGCCACAAGAGTGGGACAGGTAGGGAACGGCGCTGGGGCAGCTGCTGGCTCTCTCGCTTGTGATTTTGGAGGAGCACGGTTGGAGCCGCTGCTTGGGAAGGGAACTCGTTACTGCGGCCTGAGCCCAGCCCAGAGCTGCTGCTTCTGCTGTGAGGTGAGCCTCTGCTGGTGAGAGCAGCCACGGAACTGGGACCTTACCAACACCCACCTCGCTGAGAGAAGGACCCATCCCCATCTGCTTGGGTGTCCCGGATCTTGTGCTTGCCTCACCCTGTCCTGCTGGGAGCCGTTCTGCCGCTGTCCCGTCCTGTGCCCGCTGTTTCCTTGGCACTGCTCTGAGTTTTCCCCGCGCTGTAGCCCTGCAGGACCTGCCTGCCGAGACCTCCTGTGGGCCCAGCACAGCTCTGGAGCTTCTGATGCATCTCGTCTAACACCCTGGGATTTTTGCTCATTCCTGCCAGCCCAGCTTGCTGTTTCCGAGAGTCCTGCAGTGGCACTGGGATGGGGTGGCCCAGGGTTCGTGAAGCAAAGCCTCTCTTTTCCATCCCTTCCCGTGTGGGCCCGGCCGCCATTACCGAGTGCTGCCCGAGCCCTGCCCACAGCGCCCCCTGCAGGCGCGGGGGGATCATCACACCTGCCCTGCCCACCGCGAGCCACCAGCGCTCCCTGCCGGCTGGGACGGGAACTGCACCAGAGGGGAAAGCGCCTGCAGCTGGGAGGGCTGGGGCTGCGTCACTGTTCTGGTTGGTGTTAATTCCATAGTTGTTGTTGTTTTGTTTGTCTTGTTGTACATACTAGCAAAGAAGTTTTGTTCCTGTCCCCATATCTTTGCTTGAGATCCCCTTAATTTCAAAATTATAATAATTCGGAGGTCGGGTGGTTTACGTTCTCCAACCTGAGGGATGATCCTGCCTTCCATAGCAGACACCTGTCTTTCAAACCGAGACATACGTCAGCCCAGAAGTTTAACCTTTTTTTTCATTGATTCTCCTCCTCAATCCACTGGGGGTGGACAAGCAGTCACATTGTTGTTAGTTGCTGGCTTTCATGCTGAAATTCTTCAAAAATAATAGAGCCTGTTTGACACTCCTTTACCCCTGTTTTATTCTCCACTATTTCTATCTCGCTGTTAGTCTGCATTGCTGTGTGCTTTTCTCTCTTTCACTTAAGTGTATTCTGTCTTAACCGGAAAATACTGTATAGTGCTGAGGGTAGTTTGGATTCTTGATGGAAATAGAATACAATTTTGGTATTTTCAACCTGAAGGAAATGAGAGAGAGTGCAGGTGAAAAATTGTTATTTATACTCAATATTTTTTCTATAAATTAAATGAAGAATAGGTGGGATAGGTATTGCTGCTGCTAGTTTTAAGTGGGTTGTTCAAACTAAAAATTATAATTTCTATCAGAATGGAAGAGGGAAAAAAATAAGTGTGGGAATTCCCAAACACTCTCAAGATTGCTCTTTTTCAGAACCTGTTTCAGAATCTGAAACTTGAGGAGATCTGTGTTGTGGGTTACCCCACTGTTGAACCACTGTGCTTGAAACCTGTACTCAGGTGGCTTTGGTTCTCTTTTGGACCAGAATTATAGAATTGGAGATCTTGGAAAAATCAGTACCCTTCAGAAACATGGGTTGCTTGGGATTTTATATTTAACATAGTAGTGCAAGAATTCCATACTCTGAGCAGCCTTTAGTGTGTGGGTCCCTGCTTTACTATGGCTGCCTTTGGGAAGACTGCATAAATCTCTGGCAAAGAGTATATATTCATAGTGTGCCTAAGGGAACTCGACAGCTTTCCTTTCCAGAGCATGTAGATAAACTACAACCAACCAGACTGTAGAAAGGAGTTTGCTCTTCAGAGATGTATAACTCACATGCCTTCTTGATCTATCTAATTGATAAATGGTATGACACACTTTCCTTGTCTTATTTTTCATGTAAAAAGGAATGAATGAGCTGAGTTTCTCAAAATGAAAATCCTTGAATTTGGTCTTTGTTTATTCTCAAGTTCCCATTTACCTTTGAAAGATCTCCCTTTATACTGTTGTTTACGTTATGTCAATCAGTTACATACGTTCCAAGAAGTTTGATTTCTCTTGGCTATGTTGCTGTGAGAATTCTCCTTGGTACTGTGTCCTTATGTGTTGCATGAAGTACTGTGTTAATTGCAATTAAAGTTCTTCCCACCATGTGGACAGCTTCTAAACTCTGTTACCTGACACAGACTTGTTTTCAATCAATAAAGTTGAGGCACGTGGTATTATCAGAAAATCTTTATTAATTTACTGTCTTCACTTAGGATTATGACTCTTTATGCTGCATGAACTGGATTTAAACAACAGAGGAACCTGTGCTTGAAAGCTGCTTGATTGTTACTGTATGTTACTGATTTTGAGTGGGGAAGGAGAAGAAGCAATCCCCCAAATCCTCCAAAGCTTGAAAAATACTAAAATCTCTTGGTTGTTGACATAAACTTTTCAGATTTCTGCACTCAATTTGATGGCTGTTTAATGCAAACCATGGCTTAAACGTACCCTGTGGAATAGCAGAACTTGTCTATGCGGAGGAAGTGCTGAAAATATAAAATGAAATATATTCATCTACGTAATTCATTTTAAGTTCTCTTTTTATCCTAGCCCCTTTCCTAGGTAAGTTTAGAGAATGTGACCAACATGCATAGCAGAGAACTGCCCATGCTGCCTTCAGAAATGGAAACAATGACATGGATGTAGCTATGCTCCTTTTAGGCTGAGCTGGTTCACAGCTCTTTGTTATGTCATGTGCATGTACCAGCTTTGTTGGAGAGAGCTGTAGGCTGGCTGTGCTGTGTGCTGCTGAGGGGTGTAGATATTCTCTTTGTATGTTCATCAGTAAAAGAGTATGTAATCTTGCTTAGATTAAATTAGGGTTGTTTACAGTAGGGAATTCTCACAAAGCATATTTTGCATTGTGTGTTTCACACAGGTTAATGTGCAATGTAGTCTCTCTTTGTGGGCACATCATCAGCCTTCAGGATAGAGTTTGTGTGTCCCTCCTTGCCTCTTCGGATTCCTGAAGGCATTTCTGGGACCAGGGGCTAGAAAAATGTTTGATTTTAAATTTACAGC